AGCTGATTGGAAAACTTCAAGATGATGTAAGTCGCTTCTGTGGCATAGAAAAGGAACATTTGCTGTCCGGTAATTTTCAACAAAAGGCGTTAGTTCTTCAACAAGGGACTGATAGAAGCCCTTTGACATGGCGACCAAAAATATCCATTAGTATTGTCCCAAAGACGCGTTCATCTAGATAAAATTGATAAACAGCAGATTTTTAGCGATGGGCCCAATCTTAGATCCATAGGCCAACATTATACCAACAATCAATACGAAACTAACGATTTTAAATTGGCTCACTAATTGACTTGCCTATTGGTCCCAAGCAAATCGACTAACGTACCCCATTCTAGTATAAATTCCAATACTACACTATGTTTGTTTTGATTCGCTATGAAAGTTTGACAGATAAAATGAGGGGTTAGTGGATTTTCCTATGCTTCGAGGGGTGAATAGATTAGCTTGGGACCGAAGATAGTACCAGAACTGAGCTAAAAAGTTGAGCTCGTTTATTCGGGACCTTCTGGTCTTAGAGTTACCTCTATGATTATACCCCGTTCACATTACAGCCTATATCACGTAATATAGGCTGTCTTGCAATGAGCTCTTTTAGCTAGGTACATCACAATGCATCAGAAAAATGGTCGCAGTGATGAAAAAACCTGGCAAGGAAAAAAAGCCCGCTGATCTTCTTTGAAATACTGAAAACTTATCTTAAATTGTTAAAACTACCCTGGAACCTACTAAACATCTTTGAAGCTATCTGAACTTCTCAAAGAAACTGCAAAATAATCAGGGAGCTAATGAAAAGAAACACCGAAGCTATTTAAAAGAACTTTTGAGAGGTTTGATGAACTACACAAACAATCAGTGTTGGCAAAATCAGAAACCAAATGATATTTTTCCGCTCTCATGGGCTCGCAATATCACGCGTGATATTGGAACAAAATATCATGCTTGATATTGATTTGACAAGCTCCTTTGATATTGCGAGACAATTCACAACGTGCAAAAATCAAGCTGAGAGTTGACTCGACACAAAAATGAGTCCATTGCACATCGTTTTCTTAGAAAGAGGAAGCATAGTTTGCTATCTCTTTTTAATCTTCACCGATGGCAGACGCGAAGGGAGTGCTGCAAGCCGTTAAGGTTACTTTGAGACATTTTTAAAAAATTCAAAAGCAGTTTTTTTCGACGCATTATTTTAGATAGCAAAAAACTCGCGTTATTTTGTGTAAAATATCAAAAGGAATCGAATAGTGCGAGCTTTTTTCAATCTGAAATAATGCGTTGGAAAAAACTGCTTTTGAAATTTTCCAAAAAGCATCATAGTAAATTGAACCTTAAGGTAGTTTTGGTTGCATTCGGTTGTAAAGCAAAAATCATTAAACTGAATCTCACCACAGTTTGGTGAGATTTGCAGCTGGTGAGTTTTGTTAGCTTGATTTATGATTAGTTATTGAGCTGCGATATCACAGCTTGCAAAATCAACCGAAGTTGTTTGCTTGTTGATTTTTGTCTACGAAAATCAAGCGTGCCAAATTCCATCAAACACTACTGCGACCTTAGATAATCAGAACATTCTTTTAAGAAAACGAAGTTCTTCCTGAGCTCCAATTCAAGTAAGCAGTCCATTATCCTCAGGAATGTCACATTTTCCAATATAATGTTATTTCAGTAAATTTCTATGCCATTACATGAAGTGTGTAAATCATAAAATCAGCTGCAGATTCTTATAAAAACAGCATTGAGAAAAATTCTCATACATGATGGTGGCAATTTGCTTGAGTGGGTGAGAAAGTAGTTATAATAAATTAACTATTGAACACATTATTTACAAAAGTACTTATTTGAAAGTATCTCCTTGAAATGGAATGGATGAGTGGAATGAATGCGTGTCAAATAACCAGAGGTTAATTCACCACTGGCTTGCCCTACTGCCCTATGCTACGCCTCTCCCCACAATCAGCATTCTTCTGAAATTACATTTGAAATCAAGTCAGAACTCCATTGGAATTCTTACTAAAGCTCCCTTGGGCTCAGAATTTCATTAAATTGCACGTTAAAATACAGTTGGAACTCACCTCACTATTCCCAAAGAAATTTTTCCCTAGCATTATTTTAGTATGCTCCCAATATTTCCATGGAATTAGGCTTCGAATTCCTTTTGGACTCACCTAAACAAAGTTCGTCTTTTGAATTTGCAAGGAACTCTTCTCGAATGTCCCGTGAAACCATCCTCTGAATTCTTTTGGAGTTTTCCACAGACCTGATAAAAGGTTCTACCAGCAGGGTATCGTAGTTTAAATAAATTACAATTACAATTAGACAATTCTTTAAGAATCATCGTCAGTCTTTGAATTCTTACCAGAATTATCTCCAAATTCGCCTTGACATTTTTCTCGGAATTAAACCATAAATTTCATTTAAACTTTCCTCAAAATTCCAGAATAATTTTCGTAAAAATTTCCTAGAAAATGAATAGAACTGCCAAAAACAGTTTTTTAAAATCTGAAACCTAGGCAATCCTCCAAAGTTCAATTGCTTAAATATTAATCTTCGATCTAGAAACATGATTTTTTTTCTTTTTAACATATGTAATTCTTTGTTTCTTAAAAACTATTATATACTTCTAATTCTACTTTTTTTGCTTATCGATTTATTTTATAAGGCTCAACTGAATTAACTCTACAGAGCCGAGCACTCTTGTTTACTATATAAAACATCTTAAAACTATAGTCAAAAGGTACAATACAACAAACACTTTATCTTCCGCTATCCAATAATCCTCCTCCATCAGAATGAGATCCGCTTCCAGTGTTTTCATTGTATGGCAATATCGCCAACGAAGGGCAGAGCGCTTCCATTTCAGCAATGGACGCAAAAAGTGGTCAGCACTCACACACTCATCACTAAACGGTTGGTTTCCAAAGTCGACGACGCATCGACTGAAAGAACTGCTGATGAAGAACAATGAGGAGGACCACACAATCACAGAACAGAAGGGGAAGTGCAAACAAATCGATGAATCAAAAGTGGTTCGTTTTTCTGTTCAACAAGCAATGTGTTGTGGTAGCGTTCCACACGGGCTTTCTATGTGCACTCACACTATCATAGCATGCTGCCTATCTTAACTGCAGGCAGAAGATGCCTTCTACCGCTAGGTGCGCTAGTGTTCGCAAATGACAAGTGAAGCCACTTTCTGATCCGAAGTTCCACTCCGAACTGTGACACAATGGTTGCTGCCGAGTAAACAGACGATCGCGTGACACACATCGAGAGTGGCTTGCTTCTGTCGACAGCCGAGTGAACACTGATCTAACTCCTACCTGGAACCAGTGATGCCTTTTTTTCGAAATTCAATCTGTATTTTCATCGCAAAAAATCTTTTTAATCTGTATCTGGCTGACAAAAATCTGTATAATTTCTATATTACGGTCTCAGTGCGGATTTACGTAAATCTCCATTGAGCAAATTCATAGTTCAGAAGGAGTTTGTTCAATGTTTATAATCATGAAAAATTACTAAAGTTTGCTTTCTAAAGAATTTGTCTATTTTAATAATCTTGAAATCCTACAATCTTGATTTTTTGTAGTGTTTTGTATTTCTTCTACTGTCTGAAAATACAAAACATTAAGTACCAGTTGTAAGAGACAAATCTGTTTCCGACTGAAATATTCAATAATGAAGTAACTATAACAATTCCCTAGAATTTGATTTATTTATGTCTCAGATTACGCAGACCTTTATCTGGACATTGAACATAACACAGAACTTTGAAGGAAGTTTAGTCGAATTGCATGCAATATTCTTTATTTCTGTAGTTACGCTTTTTAAATATAAAAATATCCAGTTGATTTTTCGACTCACAAACTGTAATTACCCACTTTGTGGGTTTTCTAAAATGGCTTGTTTATCGAGTTGACAAAAAATATATATAATTAACCTTCGTATCTGTCACCATGTGACATGGTTAATTAAACAAATAGAAAGGGAAACTAATATTCCTTCCAACGAGAAATCAGAACATCCGAGCATCAGAAGTCCATTCAAAAGATTCCGAGTCCATTCGAAGCTAAAACAATAATAATTTATTTAGTGAAAAATACAATCTGGGATTGATGCTTAGATTACTTTTTTTTGCTTTATTATAAAGACTTTCAGTCTTTAGCTGGTTCGTCTCTTTTGATGCTCAGATTGAATTCAAGCTGCTCAAAAGGAAGAAACGATTATTTATCGGAATTAATAAAGATGTACAGGCTCAATAGAATAAACTTTACACAGCCAAGTTATCATTTGCAATTCCTTTATTTGACAAATCTTAAAAATCTGTATATTTTTCAAAAATATGTAATCTGTATATACAGATATCTGTATCAAAATATTGAAAAAAATCTGTATGATTACAGATAAATCTGTATATGTGGCATCACTGCCTGGAACTGCTTTCTTCTTTCCCTCGATTTCAAGTTGTGTAGTGGTCTTAGATACTCATTCTGATACCACTCAATTTCTTGGAATCTTCTATGCCGCGCATGCTGCGTAGTTGGCCTGCAGTTTCCTAGAACTATGACACATTCAAGAAGTCATCATTTTCCAGGATGCTTTCATGGCTGCGTTAGTGGGAGATTAGATTAGATTAGTTTAGATTACATGTTCCAGAATCTGAAAATTTGAATTTTGAATTTTTTTCGGTCTCAGAAATATGAAGACTTTGTTTCGAACGAACTATTAAAGGGGTTGTCAAGGTCAAAACGCTTCACGCTTTCCGAAAGTCGGCCTAATGACCGATTCAGCGCAGCGTCGTTCCTGATCTTCTATTCTGTATTGCAACATTTACATCCTAATGTTCAGCTTTTGTGGCAGATGTCCAATTTCTCCACAACGAGGATTGTCATGACGCACGTGAAAACCCCGACAAAAGAACCAAAAGAGCACGACTGCTATCGGGTTCCATGTTCCTAATTGCCGTTCTGTCCTAGATTCTGGATTATTTTCCCATTAGCTCTGCTAGCTCTTCATCGACGGGTTAAACAAACTTGGTGTCCGTCGCTCACACTGTGGTCTTGTCGCGTTCTACCCAGAGCGCATTCGCGGTCGTTCGATAATAAAGTTAAAGATCAACAAGCGAGCAAGCGATAAAAAGAAATCGCTCTCACCATCAAGAATTCAAATGAGATGCAAATTCTACCAGCGATAATGCGATTATTAGTGATTTTAAGCGCTTCGCTGCTGACCGTCGTCGTACGAGCCGGGACTCTAGTGTCCCGTTCCGATGTTGTAACGTCGTCAGTCGTCGCTACCGGAAGTGTTGGCGGTAGCAGTGGTGGTGCAGTGTTATTTTTAAGGCGGCCACCGGGAATGGCAGTGCCCACCAGTGTGGCCCTACCAAGGCCGAGGTCGATACAGGATGCTAGTTCAGTGGGAGCTCAATCCACTGGTAGCGGACAGCCAGTGTCAGAGAAGAATGTCTACCGGACGAAGCTGTCCAAGCTGAAGCTGATTCTGCTGGCCGATATGCTGAATGATATTGTGAGTATGAATCATGAGAAGATTGTATGATGTCTCCCTTTCGAGCTGAAAAAGTATAACTGGTTCTTGAATAAGCAAATGAGCGACAATTAAAATTAAAAGCTACGATCTCTTAATTTGTAACCCACATTCCATTCCTGTACACCGTTAAAGACTTTCACGTTAATGTGTGCAGAATATTCCAAGAAAGGGGCATGAAATTCAAACGTGTTTTTCAGAAATTAGCGAAAAGGGATTCCAGAAGTAGGGATCATAAAATAGGTACACTCTGTGCACGCCATTGGTTGCCTTGCTCGCCGTGTCGACCGGTTGCAAAGATGATGATGAAGCTAATGATAACCTAACAACCAAGGTACTTGGAGAGGAGCAAAAAGGTGTTATAAACACTCCCATCGCACCGTTTTACATCGTCAATGGAGCGGCCTTTGAACAAGGTCTGCTGACAATCTGCTGAAAGAAAAATGATCTCGTGAAACACACTCCTGAAGGAATTTAGCTCTGCCAAAAAAGTGCAACTTTAAAATACATAATTAGCGCCTTTTATGTAACCAATTCCCGGTCCGTCAGCGTCGCAGCTCGCGAGCTTTTTTGGGATCTCGCGTTTTGTGTTTTCGATGATTAATGAACTTGATAAATACCCACCGTAACATCCAGGGGGTCTGTGGAGATCTTGGCTTTTCTCCTTTTATTGTTTTGTTTCGGCGTTCTTTCCCCGAATAGGGGCCGCAAGTAAACCCGGCCGGGGCCGGGTGGATCTGTTCTTGCGCGAAAACAGGTTGTTGGAGGAATCATAAAAATCTGACCTCCCCGTTGCTCGGCCATCGCATCCCTACCTGTATTTAAATGGTTTGCTTTCCCTTAACCGGCTCACCGGCTGATTTTTTGTGTGGATCATAAAAAAAACTTGTCTTTTGACCGACGGTTCGTTTTGGAATTTTGAGGAAGTAGCAGGTTCCCCGATTCAAGTGCTTATAAACTTCGCAGCGGGTTGAGGGATTGCATCATTGGCGGTATTAAGTAGTAACATTACAGGCTTCGGAAGATACATTCTTAAGCCTGTTTTTTTTTCGATTAGATCAAGAGAGTTCTGTTTATTTTAATGTATGCTCCTCATTTAATTTCAATAGTGTGAAAAAAAACTTACTATTGGTGCAGTACATACAGTAGTGGACAAAAATAAATCAACACACGTTTTATCTACTCAGGCTTAATATAATTTTTTTCTATTTTCCTGATGATTTGGCTCCATATCGATTTATCCTTTGAATTCACTTTGAATTCTGTTCAGAAATTGAATTGAAAGTTCCTCTTTAGTCCTATGGAGTTTAAAATTTTCCTATGATTACTCCTCGAAATTCTGTGAAAACTTTTCTGAAAAGCCCCTTGGAAATTTCTTGGAATTGGAATTATCATTAAATTTTTCACATAATTCACTTGTAATTGTACTCAGATCTACTTTGAAATTCTCCTTAGAATTCACTTATCGCACCAATTTCTCTAGAATTTTGTGTGTATTCCCTCTAACCTCCACTGGCCGGGAGTATTATTATAAGAACCCTCCCTACAATGTCGCATTTATGGTCATTGCAGACAGCTTTAGTCCGGGAGAGCTCTATTGAAGATCCAGCAACCCATTTCAGAATGTCTGGAGAGTCACGCCTATTCCGAAGTTACTTTCACTTACAATAAGCCCCGCATGTATGTATTACCTCTATCAATTTGCTTTTAGTATTGCACACACACTTCCAGTTTCAAAAAGTTCTTTTAATTGTAAAAGTATTTGGACCGGTCTCACCATGTTAATTTGATCATCCAATCCGTGGGTCGTGAATCATTTCGTGATTCACCTGATCCTCCTTAGCACACAATGGATCCTCCTCTTCCGATTGTCATGCCATTTTACTAACATTTACTGCATTTCCCTTGTTTTATTGAGACTTTTTTTTAATTTTACTGGTGCAATTTCACTTATTCATGGTGTCTCCACATTTTGTTTGAGCAGTTCAACTTAAATATTGGGACATCAGCCTGCTTTTTCTGGATAAATTATTGATTTTTTAGGGTGCATTTTATTGATTCTATTGGTGCTAAAAGTGGGGTACCACTATGCCCAGGGAAATCGACACAATTTCAAGCCAAGAGATTTCCTCAACCGGATCGGGATCACAGCCAGCAGGAGTCGGTTCATGAAATTCCTGAGCTAGATAGAGGTGTCCATCTTCTCCGCCGTAATTGCTTTCTAAAAGCAGTTCTCTATGTGTAGTAGTATAAATATTAGTGTAGAGGGGCGACCCCAGCGTAGTGGTTAACATCCATACCTCTTACGCCAAAGTCACGAGTTCAAATCCCACCCCGGACAAGTCACGAATGACCCAATAGTGTTAAAGTGACTATAATAAAAGAAAAAGAAAAAAAAAATAGTGTAGAGTAAAGTTTTTTAGAAAAATTAAAATTTGTCCCAGCACCTGTACCAAATATTTTTTCAGAGCTTCACTTCACAGCTTCACTTCAGAACATTCATTCACTAGTGGCATCCACTACAATGCATGAAAATGATTGAAGACCAATTGATTTGAACAATTTTTCAAATGATAGTCTAGTAACTCTGCGTATATATTGGATAATATATTGGATAGTAGAAATGTTATCGAATCGTGAAATATCATCAAATCTTGGAGAGTCAACCATAAAGGTAACAGCTGATAAAGGCTGTCCTCAAGGAGGCGTTCTCTCTCCTCTTCTATGGTCGCTAGTAGTAGATGAGCTTCTTATTAGTCTTGAATCGCTAGGGTTTGAAATTATTGGGTTTGCGGATGATATAGTGATAATAGTCCGTGGAAAATTTGATGAAATCATTTCAAGCAGAATGCAGATGGCATTAAATGTAACTACACTGTGGTGCAAAAATGAAGGATTGAAAATAAATCCTAAATTTTTTATTCTTTACAAAAAGACGAAAAGTCTTATTTTCAAAACTTTGGAAGGAACAGAATTAAAATATTCTTTGGAAGTTAAATACTTAGGAGTAACTTTAGATAGTAAACTCTATTGTAAATAGCCTAGTTGATCAATAACGGCGCCGGCCACGTCCTTGCAATCAGGTGGGAGTAGTTAAGGAATACTAGAGTGACCTTTGTTGTTTGTGGGCCGTGTTTACCCCGCTCCAACTAAAAACACAGGAAAGGAAATTTTGTTAGTAAGTTGGGTTCGTTGGATCAGGATTCATCTTGATAAGTGATGCGACCATGGTTTTAATTGAATTAGTATCATGCATTATACTTGGATTTGCCTGGTGAATCATTATAATATAAATCTGAAGACGTTCCATAATCGAAAAGCTTAAAATAAACTTTGAGCATGAGCATGAGCAAAATTGACCGCCCGTGACTGCCAACACCAAAGAGCTGAAAATCAATTAAAAAAAATCAAATCAACAGACAAAACCAGGGTGAAAGCTGTAAGAGTGAATCATTACAGTATAAATCTAATGATGTTCTGTTATCAAAGAGCTGGAAGAAAACTTAAATAATTTAAATCAAAAGATCCAGTCTGAATGAAGGCTGAAAAAAGAGAATAATTATACAGCAATGACCCCATTTTGTCAGCTATCAAAGTATGTGTATCTTAAACATCCATCTTTAAGGAGGAAGATATGAAATCACAATTATGTGTAGTTGCATCTGAGGAAAAGTTATAGCTGTTTTTCTATGAGTGGGCATTTTACCCCAGAGGTGCATTATAGGCTGTTCTCCCTTATAACCATCCGGGAGACCAGCGCTTATCCGGCAAATGCAGCCAAAAACTATGAAAGCGAACGCCAGTCCGCATCGTGCTCTCTTGCCGTGCGGATCTATTTGCTTTTTGCTGAAGGAAGTGTTACTACTACCTAAAGCTACAACAAATTTAAACAGCACTTTTCAGTGCTCAACCTGTAAAAATTTTCTACCTTGTTCCAACTCTTATTCCTCTTCGATCCTTGTTTGGACCCTACCCGAGGTAATCCTTCTTGGATATCGATTTGGAAAATTCCTCTTCGATCCTTCAGATTCTTATAGTAATCTGCTTGGAAGTCGAACTGGATAAAAATTTACTGCCGCCATGGCGCCTAAACGCAAAAGAAAGGGGCAAACTCTTGACGCCCCTTCTGATGAAATTAATTTGAGTAATCAATTTGATTTGCTCACGGATGATGAGAATGATCCATCATCCAAGAAAAATTCTAGTAAACTTTCCCGGCTTAATGCCAAGAAGGAAAAGATTCCCCCTATTGTGATAACCACTACCGATTTCCATGCTCTTCGCATGGAACTTTTGAATTTCGTGAAAGTTAAGTTTTCACTACAAATTGGACGTCGGGGTGAATGCCGTGTATTGGCTGAAACCTTGGACGGATTTAAATGTCTTCTCAAGTATCTTACTGAGAAGAAGCACAAATTTTTTACTTACGACACCAAAACTGAACGTGTGTTCAAGGTTGTCATGAAAGGACTGCCCAGTGGTGAATCCCTGGATCAGATCAAATATGAACTGGCAAAATTACTTGGAGTTGTGCCACTCCAAGTAATCAAAATGAAAATGAAATCCCGTCCTGGCGATTCGCGCAACGGGATTTCTAATGATTTTTATTTAGTTCACTTCAAGTCTAGTGAACTAAACAACCTTAAGGCCTTAGAAAAAGCTAGCCTTATGCTCCATGTCCGAGTGAAGTGGGAACACTTCAGGAAGACTGGAGGAAATTTCCAAAACCTCACCCAGTGCCGTAAGTGCCAGGGATGGGGTCACGGAACTAAAAATTGCTACATGCCAGCTAAATGCATGAATTGTGGTGATTCCTCTCACGCAAAGGACGACTGTCCTGTGAAGGAAGATCCTAAGAAATTTAAATGTTCAAATTGTGGTGAAAACCACAAATCCAATTTTTGGGAATGTAAGACTCGCAAAGCGATCCTACAATCTCGTTCTAACCGTCAGGTAGGAAACGCTCCACGTTTCCGACCAGG